ACTTAACATTGAGCTACAGGTTTGAAAATTCTACCATCAATTTAGAACCGCAAGAGAACTTATTTTTGAAATTTTCAACTCAATTGATTGAGTTGAACTCGAGTTATTGACGCCCTAGTGAAAACTATGACTTTCTCTACTTGATGAAAGTTTTCAATGTGAACTTCAGAACTCCATTTTTCTATACTAACTTCTTGCCAATTTTTTACTGTAGATAGCTGCATCACTCTACTTCCGAATGAGGAGTTACGCGAATACTAATGTCAAAAGATGACTGAAATATGACTTTCACAATGTGGTGATATTGGTGAACTGATAACTCCACTGTATCTCAACCGATTGAGGACGGGGTAGTGCTTGCAATAAGAGTTCGCTGAAATCAGTCTCTATCCAAAATATCAGCCAAATATCATAAGAAATGATGCCAGTTCAAGAGGGGTGGTAGTAACTTTTGTTTAGGAGTGTGTATATATACGAATGAGATAATTCATAATTGCAATCGATCAGCAATAGATGGCACGTATTTTAGGAGTTCTCCGATGAGTAAGTAGGAAATTTTTTGAAAAATCATGAGAATAAGTGAATTGCAGAATATTATTTTTGAAGGTGAAGGAAGCATTAAAAAAATGAACTCATTTAGTATAATTTGGTGTCGTAGTTACATTTGATCAAAACCGATACATTTTATTTAGTAGGAGTAAATTTTCGATGAGAACGACAGATTGTCCATTAAAAACAAAACTTATCAATGCATATTTTTGCTGCATTGAGTTGAAACAAAAGTGACTTATATGTTAACATTGTATCTATTTTGCGTACTTGCTCTATCATGTCTGGTATGTGCTCGTTCTCTGTTATTGCATTTTTTAGATGGTATAATGGGTGGATGTGAATGCAGATGTTGACCCTCTCTTCACCTACGAAGGGTATGGGTTTGGGTGACTCTGTATAGTTCTAAACAAGGCTGATACATCGCTCACATCTAAGGCCACAGCTACGGTCATAGTCACACGCACACTTCTCGCCCATACCCACCCAGATTGGACCGAGTTTTACAAAAGTTCGGCATACTTGACAAACTTGAACAATCAAATTGTGACAATTCTGATCACTGTTCTCGGTACTGCAAATGAGACTGTAAATCTATTTTGATAAAAAAATGTTAAGGAAAGATTTGCAACATCTAAAATGGTCTCAGATAGCCCTGCACGGCCACTACACTTGATATTCATTCAACAGAAAACCTTGTAACTGTATTCCGAAGAATGCTGTGCGCTAGTCCGGTTTAGTCTGTGATGACCCAATTATCATTGAAAATTAGGAAGAAAAAACCGTCGAATTGGACCTGCCAAAAGTCACAACGAGACAGCTTTTGGCAAATCATGATATTTCAGAAAGAAATCGACCAGTCGTATGAGAAAGAAAAGTCACGGGACGAAATAGTACGGGACAGAACGATAAGTGGTTGAACACGGAACGACTTTTTCACTGTTTCGTAGAACTCTGCTATCTAGTCTAGCGATCGAGGTCATATACAGAGAAGGCGGTAGACAATCATCATCACTTAAGTGAATTTGCTTCTCTTCCTTCGTCTGAAGATATCGAACTATAATTATCATGTCTATTCTTTCTTTTTTTGGTTTGTCTTTTTTTACATTCGACATTGCCATCGATCTATTGTGTAGCACCGCTTGACTGTGACTGATTAATTTTTTTAGAGAGTAAAGATAGAGTAAATAAAAAGAGAAAAAGGAATTCTTCTGTAACATAGAACTTTTAAAAAAAGAAAGTACTTTATCACACGTTTGCAGAAAAAAAGGAAGAATAAGCGAGAAATACATTCTAAATGCGTCCGAATGTGAAAGGAAAAAGAGCAACAAACAAGATATGAGAATAAATTAATTTTAAGATAAAATTGAGAAAAAATGATTGGTAGCATGAGAGATACGAGCCTACCCATATAAATGTTTTGTTTCTATTTAGAGATTTTGTTATATAATTTGTTTTAAACTTCGGTTTCTTGAATAAATCGTATTGATAGTGATTCACTATTAGTGGTAGCTACACTATTAAGAGGATAAGGACGTTGTGTATTGTAGTAATGCGGTGATAATTTGGGTACAACAGTGGCTCGTAACCTATCTAATTTTTCAAATTATGGCGGGTTTCGTTGAATTGAATCTTCAAATGCTTTTATCACACGAAGCTAGAATTGTACGAATAAAGACAGGAAAAACTGATCGATATATTTCTCTTATCAAACAAGCCAACAATAAAATACCTAACAAATAATTAAACAAATAAGAAGTTAGATAAAAGAAAAACACTATTAGTAAAAGACAAAAAATAGGAGGAGATTAATTGATTTTTCGTGTATATACAACATTCAAGGATAAAGCCAAGTTAGACAAAAAAAAAGACGAGACAAATAGCTGCAACACCACAATAAAAGCATAAGTTTACTTTATATTTATTAGTAAAACAATAACAAAAGAATAATTTTGTGGAACTCATATGTTTTCGAAGAAAATAGTGAGTGTAAGTTTTAAGTTGAAGTTTTTCGACTTCTCGAACCCAAGCCCAGTTACAAACACCCCACTATTACAGACCTTAGTAGCCATGATTAAATAATAGATATATTTTATAACAGTCTTATTTACCATTTAATTCGATGCTTATAAAAATAAATATGTTAAATTAAGAAAAAAGGAACTACAAAGATGGAACATATTGAGCGAATAACAATAATGAAAACGAAAAACAAGGGCGCCAGTCAAAGAAAACGATAAAAAAAGATCTTATTTTTATATCTCATATTAGTATAATGAAGCTGAAGAGCATGCATGAATTCTACATCTCACTCCCAAAGGGGCTATACTAACAAGTTTTCTCTGCTCAGGTTAGTTTTGTTTTCTTTCTTTATGTCAAATAATAGCCACAGCAAGACACAAACAGAGATGCATGACAATCCGATAATTACTACAGTACAATGCAACAGATTTTCACGATTGATAAGACAACAAAATCTTCTCACTGTGAAGATGGTTGGATCCACTCGAAATGTCCTACAGGAGCATCCAAATCGTAGAAATGATTTTCCTGTACGTCTGAACTCTCAATATCAGAGGCAGCTAGTGGTTAATTTTCCTTGATATAATTATTATATACTGCATCAGTAAGATGGATCATTCGATGTTCCTGGATAATAAAAAGTAGTTATATGGACATTGGGCAATCCCCTACCGTAAAGGGACAAAGATTTCAAAAATAGCTACTCACCTGGAATAATCAAATCAAGGCGTTCTGCTGCATTTCCATGCCAGTATATTTATCACTGGGAAAGGAATAGTTTTCCTTCTATTTTTGGAACATACCTTCAATATCCTGATCGTGATATACAAGAAGCGCACTTTAGAATCGTAATAAAAACTTTTGTGAAAAATGTGATAATCTAAAAATTAAGTTTTTAATGCAAAAACTTGATTTCCTCGCTGAAAATAGAGAAGTAACATAGGATTTATTGATTTTTAATTGAAATCTTTTATCTATACAGTGAGTGTGCATGATTTAAAAAAGTGTACTATCGTCATATATATTAACCATACCGATGCCATTTATCATAGAATATCATCATTGGTGAAGAATATATTCTTTTCTTTTTCCGCTCTCTATTGTTCTTGTGAACTGCATAGTATAGATATGTGGTGCAATCTATATTTTGGTTATTTATGAAATTCTAAGCTTATCTGAAGTTCTGAATTTTCGATATTATCTATCATTGTAAATCGTAGGAATAATATTGTGAGTTGAATATTTCTAGGCGTGAGAAGAATCACTTCTATTCTTTATCAATGAGTTCTTAGTAATGGCCGCTAAAACAGTTGCTAACATAAATACTGTAATACCAAATAGTTTGAGTGGTGAGGAGGTTGACTCATCTGAATCGAATAATAAAATGAGTGAAATCGCAATTACTTTATGCAATGAATTGATAATAGGTGAAGAAAGTGATAGTGAAGAAAAAAAAACAACACTGACCGGATTTCGTGAATTCTGAACACCTGAAACTCTTGGAAATCAAACTTCAATGCGAACTACTAAGCAAAATACAAACATTATGCAATTAATAAGCGTAATACATATATGAGAACACAGCAGGGGGGAAAAAGCGGATCCAAGGATCCGAGGATCCGCTTTTCCCCCCTTGGAACACAGAGCAATTAAAGCAACTAACGGAATTCACAGAATTCAAAGAACTCACGGAACTCCTAGAAGACACATAATTCACGAAATCCATGGAAAGGTGTGAATGCTGGTTTATGGTTAATTTATTTCTTCATTCACACCCACATCCATCTCTTTGGGTTTCGTGAAGTCCATGGATTCTGTGAGTGCCTCGGATTCCGTGAATTCCTCGAATCCCGTGAGTTCTATCAGTTCTATGGTCTCCTCAATCTTCATCATGTAAGCAGGATATAACTTTGAAGAGTTCCAAGAGTTTAGAATTGACGAAATCCGGCCACATCTAAAAAATGCAGAAATTAAATCCATGATCTGTTTAATGTAATGAATAATCATTGACAAAATAAAAATAATCTTTTTGTTTCTTTTGAATTATTATATCATTTCATTTTAGACTTATAAAAATTTTCTTTCTAATATGGATGATTAAAAATTATTCAATGTGTCAAATAGAAAAAACAAATCATTATTAGGCACATTAATTTTCGTTAAGTGTAATTATTCAAATGTGTACATGTATTGACGTTAGTGAAGTAAAACTTTTACAATATTATTAACATGAAAAAAGCAAAAAAAAGAGATTAAGCAAGTTTTAAGAATATATATGTTGACATTAATTTTCAAAAAAATCATGATTAATTACATAAAAGAACAAATAGCAGTAACATTGTTGATTTATTTTTGTCTTTTTGCAAGAAGAAGAGGACAGTCAAATATAAAAATCCTCTTTTTTTTACATACCTGTATTAGAAGACGTATTATTCCTGATAGTCAAAATATTTGTCCTTTGTTCGATTTGCTCCTGATCTTGACTGTTCTTCTCGATCTAACTCAACAGGTAATGCTGGTTCATAAATTTCGCCTGCACTATATGTCGGCATATGACGTGGCACTGGAATCAAATTAACCACCTAAAATAAATAAAATTTATCAAAAAGTAAAATAAAATAAACCCAAATCTTTTTACTTGATGCCATAGAAGAACTGAAATACCAAAAATAAGACACCACATCCATTGTTTAAATGTTAATGCAACACAAGAAAATATGAATGAACCATATTGAACAAGAATAATTTGCACAACGAATATAACAAACCATATACCATAAAAACTTGGATTTTTAGATATTCCATGAAAAATATTTTTTTCTCTATGAATTTTTCGACAATTTATTGCATTAAATAAAGTCATTAAGACAAATATATTAAATATCATTGTAAAATGTTCAGATGGTTTAAAAATACTATCAACTGGACGACCATCATCAATATTAAAGGCATGCATTTTATGGAATATCTAAAAATATAGCAATCCATATCTAAATTATAGCAATCTATATCTAATTTAATACAGTAGTATCTATTCCGACGAAAGAATGCTAAAAAAGAAATGTTTGATCTAATTTTTTAATGAAATATCTTTTAAATCAATTAAATTTCTGAATTGAAAAATGTTCTGTCGTTTAATTTAATGTATTATCAGTTTTAACAAATGACTATCAATCAATTTATCGAATTATCTAATTAATTTGAACGTAATCTATAATTGATTAGTACTTATCAATTAATTGAAAGAGTATATATTAGCTAGGAATGACGATAAGTGATAATAATGAAAAATAATGATGGGAAAAAAATGCATTTGATTGAATCACATTCATTTAAAGATACTTATGAAGATTTTAATAAAAAATTTATGAAGAAGCTATTATATAATCAACAAAATCTTAACTGGTGTGATCTTGATATTATGAAAAATGAACAATTATCATTTTGGGAATGTGAATTTTTAAATGAAAGTGAAAATTGGACAAAAAGTACATGTTCTTGTCCAGCTTGTTTAAAGTATTATATTTGTAAACACATTATAGGCTTAGCAGTACGATACAAATTATGCAGCATCCCATTGGAAGCTAAAAATATTCCATTGGGACAAAAAAGAAAAAGAGGCCATGTTGCTAAAGCTAAAAAAGCTTTAATTGTGCAATAGTTTTATTTTTTTGCTGTGTTTTTTTGTTATAATTGATAATTGTATCTTTATTTTTTTCTGTTACTTTAATTATTAATTAGATATAACTTTGTGTTGTTAGGTAGTGTTACTTAATAAATTAGATATAAATAAATTTTAAAATTAGATGTATTATTTTCTTAATTAGATATAATTTCATCCAATATTAGATATAAATTTTTTTTGAAATTAGATATAGATTGCCATATTTTTAGATATTAGTTTATATTTGCCCCGTTTTTTATATGTGATATCTATTGTGTTTTATCAAAGCATGGGACCACAATAGTAGACCATCTGGTTCGATTCTCGCGATTATTATCATCGAAGGTGTGTATGTGTAATGTTCACATTATAGTGAGAACTAAAAAATATTAGCAGTAATGTCGATTTCTAGAGTGAATTGGATCTATTTATTAGTTGTCGTGCTATTGTCAATGGTCAATGGCTGTTTGACAAGAGGGGTCAATGGTGGTAGTGATTGTGCTAGTTGTACAATTGCTTTGGGTGTCATTGAACATCTCTCTATCTTATATAATGAAAGTATTGTAGCATCACTCGAACGCTTCTGTAACTATTTACCTAGTGATATCAAAACATATTGTAAAGTTGCTGTCGACTTTTTGAGTAAGTTTACATTCTGAATAAGTGTTAGTGATGAAAACAAGAAATATCTCATTTAAGGTCCAATTATTGTCGATGGTTTTCTGAAAAATGAAACGCCCGATATCATTTGTCATGCTCTCAAGCTTTGTAAAGATGATCCGGACCAACCTAAATGTCGTTTATTTCCCTCAAAGTCGTTGTCAAGTATTTCTTTGTCACAAATAGGATTGAATTTGCATCGTCGTTATCCTCTACTGACTCCTCTCCTTACGTCAAAAGCATGTGACCTTCCAGGTATCAAGGAAATTTGTAAAATTTTCGAAGATGTCTTTAACCATCATATGCCTCTGGTTGATATCGATGGTGATCATTTCGGTACTGAATCATCATTTCGTGGTACTGCATGGCGTGGTAAAGATTGTGATGATTTTTCATCGAAAATTCGACCAGGTGCACGTTCAGTGATGGGTGATTATGTTGTTGATCATAATTGTAATGGTATTTTTGGCATGAATTCAGCAACTAACAAACCTTGGGAAGAAGAACTTTGTAATGATACACAACGCATGGGTATTGCTGTTTTGGGAGATTCAGTTTCGGCTCATTTTCATATACCAGAACAGTGGTTGGATGCTCGACAATTATCTGTAGGTGCATTCGAACACTTAGTATATATAATTGGAAATGAGCTCGATTGGCCTCAATTGTCCGGTACAACAGGTCATATCAATAATACTTGGCCTAATATCGAAGGTAAGTTCAATACTAGAAACATGATAATGTAACTGTATATATCTATTGTTGAGGTACAACTCGATCGTTATATGCTCGTCTCTTTGATCTTGATCATTGTAATCATCGAGACTATCAGAATATTGCAGTCAATGGAGCTAACAGTAAATCCATTCTTGATATTGCTCAAACATTAACGCGTGATCAAAAAAATGATGTACCATTACTCGTAATTTATTCTTTGGTCGGTAATGATGTTTGCAATGGTCATGCAGACACAATTGCACGCATGACTACTTATGAAGAGATGTACGACCGTGTATTGACTGAACTTGCTTATCTTGATACGGTACTACCCAAAGGTAGTCACGTACTAACAACTGGTCTTGCTAATGGAAGTCTTCTATATCAATTATTGCATGATCGCGTTCATCCACTTGGCCGTGTTGGTCCACCGATAACCTATGCACAAGTCTATTCATATCTCATGTGTCTACAAATTTCGCCGTGTAATGGTTGGTTGACATCGAATGACACATTGCGTGCTTTTACTTCGGAACGAGCTGTTAATCTATCCATAGCGGTACAGAATGCTACAAATGCCTATTCGCCTATGAATTTCGATAGTGCCTTTTTGAATTTTCCATTCGATCAAGCGATTCAGGAATGGATATCACAAGGTGGTGAACCTTGGCAATTGATCGAAAGTGTCGATGGATTTCACATTAGCCAATATGGTCATGCGGTTACGTCTGATGTTATCTGGTCATGGTTACAAACAAATAAACCTCATTGGTTACCGCCCGTTAATTCACATAACGCCGACATTGAACGAATATTTAAAGATCAAGGCGGATATTAAAAATTCCATTGGATATTGTCATGTCTCCTTTCGAACAAGAAAAACTCTAGTATGATGTTCGAAAAATGTTTGTTCACTCACTGTCAATACTATTGAAGAGTTTGAAACAATATTCAATAAATCATAAACTCAAATTATTCATGTCTCAATTAATGTGTTTTACAACCATGAGGAATGCAGGAAGATGAAAATGAATTTTGCAACGACATATACAGTATTTCATACTGTCATCTTCTAAAGTCTCTAGAAATGCATTTTACAATAGTGTATCGTATGACCCTAGTAGTCCGAAAGTATCCTAATTTGGAGATGGGCCCAGAGCAGATCTGTCGTTCAGCTATCTATGAATAATTACCTTACCGATATATCTGAGTAGCCGTAATGCATCGTAGATAGTCAACGTACGCTCAGTTTAAGAGATAAACAAAATGCGAATCGTATTTTTGTGCATATTGTTTCGGTTAAATAGAAACTATCTTCATTATTGACTAACTTCGGACATGAATTGTTAATGGTGCCTTTTTAGTCTATTCTGAGTACGCTTTATTTTTTTAAACAAAGTTTTCTACAACAAAAATATTTTCAGATGCAAATCGATACGCAACTAATGTTCACATTGAAAATGACGAGTTCACTTTTTATTGCTTGATGTGATGAAGGTTGGCAAGGGCTTAATATCTGGCAGAACCATTTCTTGTCTAGCAATGGGATTATTTAACATTGTTTCCTTTTTGTAATATTCTAGAAATAAACCTCCATTGAGTAAATGCGGATTTAAATGAAGAAATTCTTCGAAATCGATTCGTTTTGGACTTTGTGCTATGGCTAGATCAATCATTTGAATCCAGAAATACGTCATTGTAAAGTGAAATGTTGTCTTTCGTGCTATTTGACTATTTTGAATGAAATTTTTAATACCATCAAATATTTTGTTGACTCCTGCTCGACGTCCGTCACGTATCAAATAAAGCCAAGCCATGCGTATATGAGTTTTGTGAGACCAACTTTTTAACTTATACGATTCAAATTGTTTTAGAAATTCATCGTCATCTAATTCATTAACTGATGGTTCAAGTTTCAAGACATTGTTTTTCTCGACTATATTATTAGCAGAAGTGGAGGATGCAGGTAAAATACTTGGTAATTGTTTCACATCTGGCAAAACTATGGTTGTTTTTGCCTGACTACTAAATAATGTATCTTTTTTATAATAACTCAACGGTAGTTCGATTTCATTTAGTAATTGAGGGTTCATCAATAAGAAACCAGTAAAATCATTTGTTGGATTTTTCGTTGTTTCGAATGCATAATGCACGATTTGAATCCAGAAATAAATCAATGTCTCATTCATATCTTTAATATAGAACTTGAGATGATCAAAGAGTACTTTTACTGTTTTTTGTCTCCCGTATATTGTTAAATATACCCATATTATTCTTAATAATGTTCGATGGTCAAATGTCTCGATTGATAATTGATGTTTTTCAAATTTTTCAACAAAGTCTTCGTTTGTATCATCATCTAATTGAGATAACCATTCTAGTGACTTATTTTCATCAAGATTGTTCTCAATTGTTGTTGTAAAAGCATTCGATTCCGTTGTTGTGTGTATGGATTCCAAAGTACGTGGAGATTTCAATGAACGTACTAGCCAACTTAAACCTTCATATAAACCGTCACCTGTACAAGCACAACATGGTTGCAAAAACCATTGTCTGTTTCTAATATTATTCAGTCTCATTTCTTGAATAACATATTCGGATTTCATTCTATTAGGTAAATCGATTTTATTTAAGTAGATTAATATAGGTGTGCAGATTAATTCATCAGCCGCTAATACACGCCACAATTCTTCTGTTGCATCTGCTAATCGATCTCTGTCATTTGAGTCAATTACCAAAATAAGAGCATGTGTATTTTGAAAATAGTGTCGAAATAAGGGACGAATTTTATCACATCCTCCCACATCCCAAATAGTTAAAGAAGTATTGTTATATGTCACTGTTTCTACATTGAAACCGATGGTCGGAATCGTTGTAACAATATCATTGAGTTTTAATTTGTAAAGTATTGTTGTTTTTCCTGATGCATCAAGGCCGATAGTTAGTACACGATATTCAGGCGTATGAAATAATTTACTAAGCATTGTACGAATACGTGATGCCATTAGAGAATAGTTTCGTTACTCACTGTAAGTTTTCGTCTATGTCGTTTTGTCAAATGGTTCGTTATTCATTGACGGTGCATCTTTTCTTTCATCCTGATTTTTTTCTCATTTGCTGACTCAGCAAACATTAGATGCACTTTGTTTTTTCTTCTTCGTTCTGTTGAGAGCGTTAACAGAACGAGCAGAGCTTAGTTACATGAGCAAATCAATTACAAAATGCATAACTTCTGGCGCCGTCTAGGTTTTTGCATCAGGACCAAACCGTACTAATAAGAGTAAAAATGAAACTTTTCTTTTAAAAAGAGGCGACTTTAATACATGACTGTGGTGAGTAGAACATTGTTGCATGCATTTGCTTGCGACACCTTTCGAAGATAGTTACTTGTGTTCAAAGAATGTAGAAGTAGAAGAACATGCTTTGGCTGCTCTTTTGATTTTTATTATTAAAATCAATTAAATCAAATATGAATCGATAAATGAAGAATGCTTCAAAGTTATTCTCATAGGTCTTTGTTCAGGCTGTACTTTTCTCCAAAAGACATTCATTTAGAATGTTTTTATTTCATTTTTGTGTAAATTCTCCATCTCATAAACTGTATATGAATTTCAATTATATCCTTGATTATTTATAAAAGCAACTTCAATTAAATTTTTCTTGTGCTAGATAATATTTGGAAAAAGACCAACAATATTCTACTATTGAAACCAAAGAAAAACAAACACCATTCTGAAAGTTATCGTCCTATTAGTTTACTCAGCTATATGAGCAAATTATTGGAAAAAGTAATGAAGCAAAGATTAATATAAGAACTCGAAAGACGAAAAATTTTATCTGAACATGAAGCTGGATTTTGTCCAAGAAAAAGTATATTATATAGCATCGCCAGATTCGAAAGATGTGTCCAAGAACAATTGAGGAAAAGATGACATGCAGCTGTTATATTATTTGATATAAAAGCAGCATTTTATTCAGTTTGGCATGATGGATTAATTTATAAATTAAACAATTTTCGTCTTCCACAATATTTAATTAATTATCTTATCTCATTCTTGGACAATTGAACTGCATCAATTGAATTACAAAAAATATGTTATCTCGTCCTTTTATATTGAACAGTGGTACACCACAAGGATCTCCTCTTTCACCATTGTTACATATTATATACAACTATGACTCAATGAATGATATTCAACATCACACTGAACATGGTCTATTCGCAGATGATGTAGCTCTTTGGACATCGTCTAATTCAACAACTAATCTTAAATCTAGACTACAACAATCAATTGATGATTTTCAAAAATGGTATAACTTCTAGAAACTGAAACTACAACCAACAAAAGCAAAATTAATACACTTCAGTTCTCATCCAAAAAAGACATACAAGAATCCAGTAGTAATAAAAGTAGAAGATACAATTTTAAAACCACTTAATTCAACAAGATATTTGAGTGTAATTATAAACAAAATGCTAAGCTGGAGAAGTGACTTATGTCATATTGAATCAAAAACAGCTGATCAAAATTAGTCTTCTCTGTTTCTTACCAAGATCAACACCTGAACCGTATGATAGAATTATGTTGAACATTTACAAAGCAATCGCAAGAACCATCATCACATATGGCTGTCCAGTCCTACTCATAGTAAGTGATAAGATCTGGGTACAAATACAAATTTTGCAGAGCAAACCTATCCGTACTGCTCTTTATCTGCCATCATATACATCTGTTGAATACATTCACAAAATTAGCAACATTCCAAAGATAAAACAATATGCAACAATATTATTAAATTTAACTATTACAAAAACCCAATGAAACAATGAAAATAAACTAGCAACATATCTGAAAGATATTCTCGACGAAATATAACAACAATTATTCAACAATCAATTATATATCATTTGTAATATGAACATAATTCTCAAGACATAAGAGAATGGTCAAGCATCTCTACTTGTATCATAGCCATTTATTATATGTTTGGCTCTGATTATTGTTAAATAATGGCCTTGAAATCCACAAAAAGAAGCTATCTATCCATCCGAGATGTTCGCGTGTTTTGCAGATAACCATTCTTGTATTGCCAAGGATTAATGCAAAATGTAAAGTTGCCAAAATTGAGCTCTCTGGTCAGGTCCAGGATGATGTCGGCCGATTCGACGGTAGATTTGCCCATGAGTCTAAAACTTTGTGGTAAATCAACTTGAGCCCCCATCGATGCGAATGCAAGAGCGCTCTTGTAACTTCTAATGTTTTCGCGAAAATTTCTTGGCTCAACATTAATTCCTTGTAGACGGACTTTGATTTCATCTGGATATGGGAGAAGTTCAGGAGGTTGAACAGATCCATAGTGACAGCACTGCTTGAATTCATCGTGTCTATCAGGAGCACATTCGCTCTTAAAGTGTAGAGCATTGCAGTGTTGACAGACATTATTCATTCTTTACGATAACTTTCAGGATGAAATTCATCTCGAAGTGCAGCCGCATACAAAGATGAACTTCGCTGCCTATGACGGCGATAACGAAAAGTATCCTTCGCTTGTCGCTTACGTTCTTCATCATCAGTCTCTTGCTCTCTTCATTTTCTTTCTCATGACGTATTCTTTCGTCGTCATTTCTCCTCTTCTTCTTCTTCTTCTTCCGACTCTTGCAAGCAGTGCAAACGATTTCTTGCTGTATCTCTCTGCAATCGTTCTTCTCTCATCTCTTCGCTTTCTTGTGTGCGCCGTTGTCTAATTCTTTCGAATCTCCGAAGTGTTTTCAGCTTAGAGGTCTCATGTGATGTTTCGGCTGCAAGCTGCTTAATAGTATCATTCAAATGCGAGATATTTTCGTGATCAAACGCTGTTGGTATCGATTTTTCACATTCGCAATCCATAGTAGATGCATAGCGTAAGGTCAGTGAAAATTCTGGAAAGTTTTAGAAAATTCAGGAATCTTTAAGTGTTAATCTTGGACCCGGCACAGACACTGATCATTATATATATAAATAGATTTTATAAAAGACCATGAAATAGTGAACTTATCGCAATGATGAAATTTTTGTGTTTTTTTTACGTTTGCATCCAAGTACGTAAAAACAAGTGAAGATGAACCACATGACTAGCCCGAAGTGTTCGCAATATCCGTCACGACTAGTTGTCTTGACAGAGAACGTCCTGCCATCATGTCTGGAGTAGTCTAGAACGTCCTTGAACCTCGTCATGCCTAGTACGTAGAGCACAAAAAGAATAAAGAAAGAAAGACAAAAGGTGGATTCAAGCATCCAACTACACAGTAATCAATATCTGATGGATGTCGTAACGCTAGACCATGATTTACCAATAGACTGACGTTAGTTTAAATAGTTCAAATAGCAAAAAGATGCTTAACCACTTGGTAGACGACTAGTTTGAAGCGTCTTCTATACTCATCATGACTAACCTAGTTTTAGAATGTGTCTTCATTACTAACTCAGAGCATCATATAATTTCTTAGCAATTCACTTTTCTGGTACTAAGTTTTCCAATCAACTGGTTTAGAGTGACTAATAGTGAAAAGAAAAAGATTATAATACAAGGAAAATCTTTCAATATTTATCTTGCTTATTGATAATAAATAGTGGGTAGTCAGATAAATTTAGAATATGGACGAAATAATAAAATAACTATCATTTCGATAATTATGGTTTACTAAAAGATCAATCAGCATTGTAGATGTATGTATTGCAATTGATGCCTTACAAATCGTTTCAACCTTTAAAATTCAGATCTCTGTAAGCTTTTTACTCAACCTTTCTTTCATGAACGCATTTCACTTACCATGTTAAATAATTTAACTAAACAGTTATACAGTTATATTCCAAAATAAAATTAAATCTTTATATGCAATGTTGACGAATGATAAGGCTTCGCCGAATAGCGATGAAAGTCATGCATCAGTGTCTTTCGCTTTAAGTATAATTTATGAGTATCAAATGCTTATTCTGTAATATCATGCAAAAACATGTCTTCCCACTAATGTTTGATAAGAAAAAACGCTCTACTATGCTAAGATTACAAAAATTATCAATAATTATCAAATACAGACCAATATATGTGTACATTGTCATCCATATTATTTTATTTACTGTAGTTTGAGTGGAAATCCGAATGAGTTCTTCAAGATCAATGCTGAAATGAAGGATATACAGCCAATATATTATATCTCATCATATCTGTATGTGGATTGCTGCCATTTTTCATTCTTTAAAACTTAAAGTGCTTTTTTGCACTTCTTCAAGGAGCAAAGATTTCGTACTTTTGAGTGTTAATGTGAAACGGTGTATCAAAGTACTAAAGACTAGGAGGAAATACAAAGTATTCTGTTCAGCTGCTGGCAAGAACTGCTAAATTAAAATTTAAAAATTGACTAGACGTGTAAAACAAATAAATAATTTAATTCGAAAATAGTTTACATTTTTTTGTGCCATAATTTTATCTTATTGTAAATATGCACTCCTACCCAGGTCGATCAAAACGGGGTATTTACGGCAGTATACGATATCAATACGTTACGTTTTCGGTCCGTATTATCGGGCGCAGAAATACGTACCGTTTTGTATCCGCTTCGTAAACGGATCGTATATTGATCGAATACGATGCGTTATACTGTCCATTAACGGGCCGTGTTTGCAAAGTTTTTGCAACGTAAACCACCGTATGTCAATGCATATGACGTGGCCTACTATCATACTCCGTATGCTTAGTTTACTGAAGAAGAAGAGACTTTACCGTTCGCTTCCCCCTGGTACACAATTGACCCCCCGAAATATTTCTTTATCTGAAAAAATTTTTCGGAAGGATCACGTTTTGTGATTCTTTTTAAAAAAAAGAAAATATTTCGTGGAAAATAATTTCAAAAAACAAATTGAAATTGAAAAATACATCTAGAAAAATTGTTTGTTTTGACCTAAATAAAAAAGTTTATTTGAAAATAATTAGATAAAAAAAAATTTTAAATAAAAAATACTTACATTTAATTATAGCGTTCGATATCATTTAAATAAAAAAAATCATTCCAGGAAAAAATAGTAAATGCTGCCATTTCAAACAATTATTCAATTGGCCCTAAATGAAGAATAATTTCTTTTCAAATTATTTTAAAAGATTTAAGTTCGAATTTTTTTTTATAATAAACACTTACGTTTAAATACATTGTTCAGTTTTATCTAAATAAAATTACTTGCTTTAAAATAAATAAATACTCACATTTTAATAAAACCTTCGATTTGATCTAAACAAAAAATAATTTATTTAGACAAAAAATAAATACTTACATTTAAATGAATTTTTCGATTATCATAAGTGAAAAATAATTTGTTTCAGAATAAATTAAAAAGATTTTAATTGGAAAATAATTTAACACAAAATTTGTTTTAAAAAAAATACTTTCATTAAAATACATCGTCGGGTTTTATCTGCATAAAACAGCTATTTATTTTAAAACAAATTTTTAAAACTTTCATTTTAAAATAATTAGAAAAAAATTCTTGTGAATTAATAAATACTTCTAATGTTTAGTATTTTGCACAAAACAGAATAGCCCCTACGCATCTATGGTACTTACCATTCACCGAAGAAGCAATGCACGAATAATCTTTAAAAGAATTCTATATAATTTTTTGCATTACCTCAATAATAGAGTCAACATGAATGAAGGACGCTGAAACTTCGTAGTCACACATCTTCAAGAGTGGGAGGTTGCTGTATCTTATAGAGCTCAAAGAAAGCTATTGATCAATGTATAAAATGACTCAAGAACACTGCCAGAAGCTTGACATTAATAAAAAAAAAGAATTTCGAGTGAGATCTAAGAAAATGTGTTCTCAATAAGAAAAGTCACCGCGCCATTCTACCATCGTTTGTCTGATGGTATTAGATGAAATTCATCAGAGTCACTAAACTACCCATCATCAAACGGTATCTGGGCATAGAGTTCAGTCACATGTACACCGCTGAATGATAGCGGAGCGGATACGAAACGGATGCGGAGCAAATATATTCCTTTTACGTAGCCGTCTGAAGAACCATCACAATGGGCCCTCAGATGCTACTCTGTCGACAATCGCTTGTATTCTACATTGTTACATGCGAGAGTGTATATGAATATTTTCAAGATGTTTTGAAAGAAACACTCCGAAAAAACAACGTATACGGCCTCGTTTACGTACCGTTAAGCGATCTTTGGTAACAGTTCCTTAACATTTCGTAATTCATACGTAAGTATACCGTAAACGGATCTTCGTAAACGAGATTCTACGGAATGCCGTAAACATGCAGCCTTGTATCCGTTTA